CTCCACCAGATGCTTCAGGTGCCCAAAATGACGCACCAGTGCTATTAAGGAGGGGCACGTGACTGCTCTTGCAGCTTCCCTTTGCTTCCCAATCGGAAGTCTTTTTTTTTTTTTTTTTTGCAGGGAAGCAAAGAAATCTGCAGGGGACATTAATTCCGCATACGTGCAGTGGTACAGAATTCCCCCAGGAGTATTGGAATATTATTGTTTTAAAAAGTTAATTCTTTTAAGAAAATGTAAACAAAACAAAACCCAAAACATTTTATTGCAATACCTAAACTGATTCTTGATATACTATACGATATGAAGGAATCAAAATATTCAGCATTAACAAAAGAATATAAATAGAAACAGGTGAATTAGTATGAAATATACTTTATAAATGCTTTTTCTCTAGTAATTTTAAACTTGGCTCAGAAACTTAAGACTGGTCTTACTCCATATACAGTTTGTGCCAATTTAGAAACAGACAGAGCAATTAAATCTGCACAACCTCTCTTAAGCATCTTTATACCAGTGTAACTGCTTCCATACTAGATGGTTGGGCGGATTTAACTGTGACAATTAACCAATATAGTTAAATCACTATAAAAACTGTGCATAGACAAGCTCTTAGAAAGGGTGGTTTAGGGTTGGTTTTGTGAAGTTTTTGGTAACTCCAGGCCTTAAGAGGAATTAGTAAACAAAGTCCTATTTATTCAAAGAACAGGTACAGCACAAAGAAGAGAGAAATCTTTTCTTTACTTAGCTAAATAATGAAACTTACGATGTGACTCTTATTTGTCCATGAAATTAACCTTTTTATTCAACCTTGTGCAGAGTGATATACGCTTGAAGACAAAGAGTATATATATTTTAAACTCCGTTTAGTCCTGCACAGCCAACACAACTAAGAGTGAATGAGCTGGATTCTCTTCCATTTTGCATATCAGCAACAGAACTTGTTTACTATTGAAGATTTTGGGGATGTTCTAGTATCACTAAGGGCATAATTTTCCCTGAAGAACCATTACTACTAGTGATGATGCTGGAGATGAAAACGCAATTTGACTCAAAGCCCTGGTTGAGTTTGCAGGGCTGTCAGTTACAAAAAAACAAAACACTGATTTACTTGTAAAGTGTGAATATTTTGTAACAAAATTAAGCAATGAACAAAGCCCTACAATGTCTTTTTTTTTTTTTAAATTAAGGAGTGACAAGTCAGAGTAGACACAAAGCCTTGTGTTAAAACTGTTTAAAGAGATATTTGCCTACTCATTACTGATGAGTAGAAGTCTTTTTCCTGCCAAGTTGAGGGGGCCTAAGCCATTAGCTTCTGAGAATTAAAGCTTTCATTTAAAAATGAAGTTTCTATCCATTACAGATTACAACAACCTTCTAAACATGAAGAGATAGCATCTTCCTGAGTCTGCAGATGTAAAAAACTCATGCCTCTGCACAGATTTCCCAAACAGCTGCAGAATGAAAATAAGGGCTTATCTGCACACAGACACTGCATCAGTTTAACATAACCAGGTTTAAATCAGTACAACTTTTGCACCTGAACTCTTTTATATCAGTCTATAACTGACCCAAAGAAGGGCTCTTTGTAACCTTGAAAGCTTGTCTCTCTCATCAACAGAAGTTGGTTCAAGAAAAAAATATTACCTCACATATCTTGTCTCTCTAATGCCTATGACAAACCCAACTAAGACAACATTGCATAGAACTGTTTATGTCAATTCAGAGAGCACCTGTGTATTGTCCACGCAAAGTTGCAACAGTTTAACAAAGTCAGTATAATTGAAGGTTATATGATTTGATGTCAGTACAACTTCCTGTTTAGACCAAGCCTAAAAGGATTATTCAGTTTTTACTGCTGCTCTTCAGAAGCTAGAGGTTAACTCCTTTCCCCCTCAGTATTATTTATTTGTTTTACCATAGTAACTAAAAGCATGAGGGAAGACCCCCCCCCCCCCAGAGTAGCCAGGATGCTTGAGGCAGGGCGAGGGGGAGGAAGAGGAAAAGAAATTCTTCCTCCCTTCCAGTAGGAAAAGAGAGGAATGGAGAGCCACTAGCCAGAGAACAGTGTAAAACAAGCCCATTAGTAGGGTCCAGGGACAGTACCTCAGTAAGGATGTCCAAACTACAAGCACTACAGTGCCACAGCTATGCCACTGTCGTGCTTGTAGTGTAGACAGCAAGGGAAGGGTTTTTTTCACTGCTGTAGTAAATCCATCCCCTCAAGAGGTGCCTGCTAGGTCAACAGAAGAATTGTTCTAGCCACTTAGTGGTATCCACCCTGGGTCAACTGAACTACATCTTTTTTTCACACCCCTGAGCAACGTAGCTAAATTAACCTACATTTTAGGTGCGGACCAGGTTTCAGAATCCCAGTCATCCTTCCCATGCCCAAAAGCAGCCTGGTGGGGCCAAAACTGGACTTCTCACTGGACTCTGCCCTGGTCCTGGCTCGCGATCCCAAGCTATTGCCCATAGGGGCATCGAGTCCTAGATTGATACCCGAGGTGGCAGGACACGTCCCAAGTTTTTCCAAGAAGTTGGCACAGGCATCATGGCCGGCAGGCCTCTCCTGACTGATGTCGACGTGCCAGGAGAAGCCAGTCCCCGGAGCAAGCCGGGCTGCGGTGAGAGGCGCCGCAGGGAAACGCCCGCCGGTGTCTCCCGCCCCGGCGCAGATGCGGGGGCTGCCAGGCGGGGGTTGCGGGGTTGTAAATCTCTGTACTCGGAAGCGGGGCAGGCCCCGGGGCCAGCTGCTGCAGCGAGTCACCCCGCGCTGGGAGCCGCCGGCGGGGGAACGCAGCTCCCGCTGCTGAGCGGCCACGGGCGCCCCTCGCCGGGGGTTGGCGCTGGACCGAGGGACCCCCCGCGCCCCTCTTACCCTCGGGCAGCTCCACGGTGCGAGCGCGGCGCAGGGACCTGGTGAGACGGTTGAGCTGTTCCATGGCTCTCTCCATCCTCGGGGGGGCCCCGCTCCGCCCAGAGCCGCTGACCCGCCTCAGCCCATCGCGGCGCCGGTTGCGTGCGGCCAGAGCGGAGCCCACGGCCCTCTGCGCAGGCTCACACCCACACGGTCCCAGAGCCGCGGCGCATGCGCGCTCCTACGCGCGTGCCCACCAGCGGAAGGGCGCCTCATTGAAGTG